TAGAAGCCCCCTTACATCTGTGATTATACATTCATCTTGAGATAAGTATAAGTAACCATTCCTACTTCTATAATATTACTTCATCCTAATAGAATTATGTATAACTATTCCTACGTCTGTAATACAACATTGATATTGATAACACAATAAGTAACCATTCCTACTTGAGTAATATTTTTTGATCTTGATAACAGTTTATGAAACCATTCCTAGTCTGTAATATTACATTCATCTTGATAACACTATATGTAAGCATTTCTGCGTGAGGAATATCACATTACTCTTTGTAGAGATATATGTAAGCATCCCTATGTGTGTTATATTACAAACATCTAAAGAACAAACGACGTAATCTTTCCTCTTGCGTGTTAAAGTATAGATCTTTGTAGTACAGTAAACGTAAACCTCTTACAACAGTGGCGTAGCGAGGTCGGGTGTCACCCGATGCGGCACTTAATGGTGTCACTACCAGAGGCGTAGCGACCCTTCCCGGGAACAAACTTTCAAATTTTCGATTTGCACCCCCCCTCTCAAGTTTTCGATTTGCACCCCCCTTAATCTTTCGATTTGCACCCCCCCCCCTCAAGTTTTTCTCTATATATTTTGCTATTTTTCGCCTTGGTGTCACCCCCCCCTAAATGGTGTCACCCGGTGCGGTCCGCACCCCCCCGCCAGCCCCCCCCCCCCCCTCGCTACGCCCCTGTCTTACAACACCAAATACCACCTAAGCCTTCTTATCAGCGATGATGTGTACGATCAGCCCCAATACTTAACCCGCCATGTTGCAGCGCCCTATCTGTAATTTACAATTACCCACCAGCCAGGTTGTGTGTATAAAAATATGATTGCACAGCTTAAAATATCCATACAAAATATAGAGCTTGCCCGATAACGCAGAATAGTTCGGGAAACGCCCAATGGAACAATTTGAAACAGTTTTCCTTTGGTAAAGATTTGCTTCTGAATAGTTTCTCAATGACACATGTGTATTATATTAAACACAAGTATAGTTTTTATGTTAAACAAGCATAGTTATTATATTAAACAATCAATTTTTATATATTTAGCAAGCATAGTTGTTATATTACACACACATAGTTTTTATACTAAACAAGCATAGTTCTAATATAAAACAAGTAAAGTTGTCATACTAAATAAGCATATTTGTTACATTAAAAAAGCTTTGCTGATATATTAAACACGAGTAGTTTTTATATTAAACAAGCGTAATTGTTTCTTGCAAATGAGTATGGCATAATTATTAGGGTAAAGCGTGATCGCCGAAAACACAATATTACATTACATAGAATATTATACAGATATATCTGGTAGCCTTAGTATTATGAAAGTGGTTACTATTACAGTTAGTGTAAGAGCTAGGATTAGTCTTGGGGTAGAGATTCCTTAAAAGACAGTTGTGATAATATGATAAAGAAGTGTCGTGTACGTTTTCAAACTTTGTAAGCGTATGTTGTTTTTAACAGATATCAATCGCCCTAAACATGTTTGTTGTATCAATGAAAATCTTATTCCAAGAGTAAAGTTCTCTTCAGACAAAATATCAGACAGGTAAAGCAGAGTATAACTCTATATATGAAGGTAGAATATAGTAAGCAATATATATTAATAAGAGTTGATTTCCCTAACTCAAGTCAGGTAGCAATTGTAACTAACAAACTCAGGTACATGTTGGGGGAACACGTAATTATGACCTCTTGGTTTGTAATTAATGGCTCTACCGATTGACCACGCTATCCCTAAATGAAATGTATATTCAAAAGTTGTTTACATAGATCCTTAACAACAAAGTAGAAACGTCTATTCACATTCTTTTTTTTCACTTTCTCGTATAGAGAAAGTCTTGTAATCGTGCAAAAAAAAAAAAAAATCGAGATTTTTTCAAATCTCGACGTTTTAGGGCTCAGTGTGTCGGGAAACATAGTTTTGCAATCTTGTTCGTATGTCTGTCTGTGTGTATGTCTGTGTGTCTGTGTGTCTGTGTGTCTGTAAACACGATAACTTGAGTACCGTTACAGCTAGGTTGATGGAATTTCATATATAAGTATTATATCCAAATCGTAGGGCCGTATCGCCTTTTAGCGATTTCCGATAGCCGGAAGTGGTACTTTTTCTACTTTGAATTTTTAAAGTACTAATAATATTGCACACTATTATGCACATTTTATTTGGCGTTCACTTGGTGTGCAATTCTTTTTTTTACGAGATTTTATTCTATTTTTAAAAAGTTTAAGTATTTAAAATGGATTAAAAATCATATCTATATTCTAAGTTCCCATCTTCTGTTGTTTTATATAAGAAAATGAGAAAGTTTAGGGGAAATTACTCCCGGTTTATTTCAAATAGCTTTAAATGTGTTTATCTTTCAATTTAATAACATATAATTTCCAGTTTATTTTTATTTAGCCCTTTTAACATTATTTTTCATACTTTTTTTAACCCGAATATTCTTTATCCAAAATGTTTTATTACAAGTAGCCTACTTGGTCATAAAATCACCTCAGAACCCCACCTTTCATACGCTGATAGCGTTCTTAGAAATCCGTGTGTACATCGAAATATCCACCACCCACCCTCCCTCAACAAACACGCAGCTCAATTCCTTACTCTGCTTATGTTATTATAGATCTAGATAATATACTTCCTTTAGGATTTCGCAGTAGACTATCAGTAGTTGCAACTTTTCATACACATTTCCTATTCAGATAGCCTACACACGGTTCAATGTCTAATATAGATATAGCGTGTGGGTTTATTGATTCTATAATGTTTTAATGGCATTATTTACAAATGAGTAATCTAAAAGACTTTAATAAGTCATATCATGCATACTTCGGTCATGTACTTTTCATATTCTCAAAATAGCTAACATTATAGGGCTAGGGCTAGGGCTAGGGCTAGGGCTAGGGCTAGGGCTAGGGCTAGGGCTAGGGCTAGGGCTAGGGCTAGGGCTAGGGCTAGGGCTAGGGCTAGGGCTAGGGCTAGGGCTAGGGCTAGGGCTAGGGCTAGGGCTAGGGCTAGGGCTAGGGCTAGGGCTAGGGCTAGGGCTAGGGCTAGGGCTAGGGCTAGGGCTAGGGCTAGGGCTAGGGCTAGGGCTAGGGCTAGGGCTAGGGGTGATTATATATTGGTAATTACCGTGTGGTAAAAGCAACTTAATAATAACAGTGTGATAATGCCTATAGAATAATTACTGGGGAATAGAAATTAACGGAGGGGGGGGGGGGGTGCTGGTGTTAATACAAACGCTGTAAGCTTAATTAAGTTGCTTACTTTATAGGGACAAATTAAAACGATATATTTACATAAGGTCCTTGTATGTTATCACAAAAAATGTAAGGTCCTTGTAAGCTAATCTTCTTCCATGTTCTAAAATCACCTGCAGCTATGTGTAATTTAACTCCGAGTTTAAAATTAAGAAAAAAATATGTATTAGAATAAACGTGTGTTGTCGGCTAAAAAGATAATAAAGTATTTTGGCGCATGACAGAAGGCTGCACAAACCAGTTCATCCAGTTGTACTCCATTTACGTTGTACGGTACATACACATAACACGGTACATTGTCAACAGGAGTGATTAGTTGTCACAACATAGCTGTGACCTCAGGGACACGGGCGATGGCAAGATTTTTACAAGCTTTTATTTAACTTCCTTCCTCGTCCAGTCTGTTTATGTGTCGTCGTAGTTCAAAACGCACGAGCAAAATATCGGGCAGTTCTAACTGACAGATTCGTTTCAAAGTTGGCATTTAAGTCAAAACATGATAACAATTTAATCTGATATTAAATTTGACTTAATTGGATGCATTATTAATTTTTTTTTACAAATTAATCAAAATGATGTCCGAATTAGTAGAAAGACTTTTCCAAATATTCCGCACTATTGCACGCGTGCTATAGTGTTAATTAGGTGTGAAATAGTTTTTAGTCATGCAACTCTATTGTATTAAAACATTTAAAGTAGGCATACTGAAAAAATTAAATCATAAAATACGTTTAAATAACAACCTTTTATGTAAGAATGCACTAAAAAGTATAAAATAAATGATATTCTTAAAATATATTGTTATAGCGAGTAGCACCACATAATATAGGTGTCCCCAAGCCAGTAGCATCACATCAAATAGTGGTGTCCAAGCCAGTAGCACCACACCATGTCCAAGCCAGTAGTACCACATCATGTAGGGGTGTCCAAGCTAGTAGCACCACATCATATAGGTGACTCCAAGCCAGTAGCACCACATTATGTAGGTGTCTCCAAGGCAGTAACACCACATCATATAAGTGTCTCCAAGCCAGTAGCACCACATCATATAGGTGTCCAAGCCAGTAGCACCGCATTATGTATGTGTGTCCAAGCCAGAAGAACCACATTGTGTAGGTGTGTCCAAGCAAGTAGCACCACATCATATAGGGGTGTCCAAGCTAGTAGCACCACATTATAAAGGGGTGTCTAAGCTAGTAGCACCACATCATATAGGGGTGTCCAAGCTAGTAGCACCACATTATATAGGGGTGTCCAAGCCAGAAGCACCACATCATGTAGGGGTGTCCAAGCCAGTAGCACCACATCATATAGGGGTGTCCAAGCTAGTAGCACCACATTATATAGGGGTATCCTAGCCAGTAGCACCACATCATATAGGGGTATCCTAGCCAGTAGCGTTTCTTTCAGACTTTTGTTTTCGCCCGGGGGAGGGGTTGCACTATACTTTTTTCCGAGCGATGGGATTAAATAAGTATGTTCACACGAGGATTGCCTATGATAAGAATGTGAGTAAAAAGGGATTTTGCTATGGTGAAGATGTGATCATGATGTGCTAGCCAAACAGTGCACCTATAAATTACACCTTGACGTCTTTATTCGCAAGCCACTATAATCTGAACACAAACAATTTTATGATTGTCTGGATTTTACTTCCTTGTGACACAGACACCGTCGTAAGGAACGCAGTTTGCTGATAACGTTATGCAGTGACAAACCCAGTCAAAACTAATGTGTTAGTAAAGTCCTGATATCTGATCAATAAGATGTAGAGTTTTCTACTGGGTGTTAATCATGGAAGACAAGATTATAAAATCCGTATTTTTTTCTCTACTATGGTGCTCGATAATTGTGAGTATTACATGTATTTACTTGAATGTTGTGTTGATAATTTGAATAAAAATAATATTTTGGGTTAAAGCTGATGTAAAGTTTAAGAAATGCTTGAGGTGAATTATAATTCTGTATAGTTACTAGCGATGCTGGCTAAATTACAATGTAATTGTTCAAGTGGACAGCGCTGCTCTCTAGTCATGGTACTCATTCTATTGTTAATGTACATCTGTACAAAAGCATTAGTAAGGACTGTTTCGAGCCTGAATGTCTATGGTGCAGTTGAAGGAAAGCTCACCTGTTTCAATGTTTTCGGCATATGAAATAATAGTGGGCCAGCACAATGCCCAGCGGATTTAACATTAGTCGTGTACATACAATAATTTGGTAATTGTTTTTCGCATTTGAATCCGGGATTCGAACTCGGGTTCATAGTCATATGCTCTACAGTCCTATATACTAAACCATAACTTATTAATGAACATTTATAACTGAAGTCATATTTTTTTTAAAATTTAAATTCATATTGTATTTAAAGTTCGACAAATAAAAAACATGAAATGTTAACGAATTATATTCTCTAACCTATTTCTGCCTTTTGGTATAGCAGCGTTCAAACATCAATTATATTTTGCTTCTTTTTAACTCTGAATATAAGCCAAAATTACTATAGGTTAGTTACACTTTTTTTAATTACTCGGTCATTTCTGTAACGTCTACTCCCACCCTTGACGTATTTCTAGTCAACAAGTCAAGCGGCATCTCCTGTATGTAACACATTGCCGTCTGGCTTGTATGGCTATGGACAGTCCTGCAGTTATAACTATCAGTGTGTCACTGGGCTATGCTCCAACTCAAGATGCGCATGTGCCTCTGGGACTACATACACCACATGCGCCGCTGCTTGTGTCTCAAGTAAGTGAAGCTTACATTGTGACTGTGTTATACAAGAGTATTAACACTATTGATTATATTATTATTTGTATATTTGTAGTTTTTCCTCGCATAACTTTTGCTTGTGTATATTCCTCGTAGTCGGTTATAATGTAAATAGAGTATGCAATGTTTTAAGGGGTTAAATTACATTGGTAAAATCGATGGTATTTCACAATTCTAAATTTTGAAATTTTGAAACAAAAAAATGTTTCTATAGTTCTTTCTTTTACAATAACTATCAAGCTGACTCTGATATAGTTACTAAAAGAAAGATCATTTATTTCGCATTCAATGTATCTCCCAGGTTTTGAAAATTCAGAACTCCACACAAAAATAATTATTTTCAAGATGGCTGCCTTTGCCATGGCAACCATATTTTCAGAGGAGCTTTTGATGCGGGGAAACATGTACCCTAAATCAGATACACTCAAATGAAGAATCAAAATTATTAATGAAGATATTGTTTGCTTGTTTTTGGAAGCCTAACACTTTAAGTAAACTTATTCTCTCAAGATTGCAATACAGTGATAACAGCAACATCAGGAACGATAACCAATCCAGGCTATCCATCAAGCTACTCATCCGGGCAATGTTTCTGGACCATTCAAGCAACGACGGGGAGCTTCGTAGCGTTCAAGTATTTAAATATTGTAGATTTTTGTTTTGCTTAGAACAATACGAAGATTTGAAAGCAGCGTAAATTGACTACTTTATAAAATACAATAATGTTGATGTTGTCATTAGCACTCACACAACTTGAATCAATGCAAAAAGTATTCACCCTGCATACAGATATTTTATTTATCTTTAATTCTGTGACACAAATATAAAAAATTCATTGACGTTCTTGTTTAAAATACAATATATTAAAATATATTCGAGTATTATATGCATGTATTCAAAGTTGTGACTGGTTTTGCGTTCTAGCATAACTTACATGGATATGGGCACACTTGGCAGCTGTTCATCAAACTACCTGGAGATATTTGACGGATCGTCAACAGCCAACAGGACATTTGGTAAAATGTGTTCCACATGGCAGGTCCTTACACTATCTACAACAAACTACATGCATGTTGTGTTCCTAACATCAGGAATTGGGAAATTTCTTGCTACCTTCAAAATACAAGGTATTATAAATATTTCACATACATTGGTCTAGAACAGGTCTGTTAAGGACCATGACATGTGTGTTTAGTAATCAGCATATTCCCGGTATTGCCCACCCTAACTACAACCAACCAAAATCAAAATACAAACCCAAACCCAACGACAAACACAAACACAACGAAAACACAAACGCAAACAAAAGAATAGAAAAAAACCAAATCCAAACGCAACCACAAACCCCACAAGAAACGCAAACCCAAACTCAAATACAAAGAAAACGCAAACGTAAACGCAAAGTGCTCACAGTCCAGCCTTGGGCGCTACATTGTACCATTTTGTGTCGAAGGCGGAACCGTCTGTTTAAACCTAGTAATTATAGAAAACAACTCTGTCCGACAAAATATTTCTAAAACTTTTATGATTGGACAGCGAATAAAACTCATTATGTCAATTTTCAACAACTAATCTATCTAAACAGCGGCGGTTAACTAAAATTCTGTCTTACAACTGAAAGTAAAACTGAAATATTAAAAGCAGCTGTCACCTTTGATACTTTAAAAAGGTCGAGACCAGCTGTATAGGGCCAACCAAAACAAACATATCCAGCTATACTGGACCACACACGATTTACTAACGTTTACTGGTAATTTTGTCCTCCAGCTCTATTGAATGAATCAGAACATTCCAGTGGACTAGAAACGATTTACGCGTGTACAAGGGAATTTGACTCTCCGGTTGTATTAAACAAACCAGAAAATTTAAATTCCACAGGACCACGCAATAACCATTCAAGTATACTGGGAATTAATCTCTTCATCTATACTGAATAAAAATACAAATTCCAGCTCTACTTGACCAATTTAAAAATGAAAAAAGAAATGCGCCGCTTTACAAATTCATTTCGAACTACGAGTTGTGGTAAAAGAATAAACAATTGATCCACTTGTAAGGAATAAAATAAGTGTCAACACAAAGGTGATTAGCTCGCAACTTACTTAACTCAATATTTAAGTAATTATCCTAGCACCAATTCTATTACTTAAAACTAAAACACAAGCTCGTGAGCCCGCAATCGAAATGTAAAACTAACTAGTAAACACGGACTCGTTGTCTATTCAATCCCGTCCGTTACAACCAGGCGGGGGTTTTTGAAACAATAACAAGAGTTCATAAGGAATACACAGAAACCGAAACAACATATAATACAATGAGAAGAATAATACTATTTACAATTATAGTACGTAGTCAATCTAGTTTAAGTCAACAGAGATATTCTGGCGCTGTCACTAACTCACGAGGTAAGTCCCCGTCGTAGTCTATTCCTGCACTATCCGTGTGTCACTCCCTACCAACAGGAATGTTCCCCAGCCCTTAACCACAAAAAGTCGCTATGGTCATGCCCCGCTAATGCATGGTCAGTCCACTAGCATGCTTCAGCATTCAATTTCTTGTACAGCATGATAGTGTTGATCAAGCGCTGGTGACCTGCCTACCAAATTTATGGGAACCTTACGCTCCGATAGGGTCAGACCAGGTCTGTAATAATAATAATATATATATATATATATATATATATATATATATATATATATATTTACATATATATATATATATATATATATATATATATATATATATATATATATATATATATATATATACATATATATATGTGTGTGTGTGTGTGTGTGTATAACGTATATAATTATGTACACGTCGCTATTTTTATTGAGTTTTATGGATATGTTTACAGGGAGATCTATAAATTTGCAAGGTCCTTCAGGCTACATTGTTAGTCCTGGGTATCCACTTAGCTATCTAGACAATATGTGGCATAGCTGGACGATCACCGGAAACCCAGGGACTTCAGTTTATCTCGAGTAAGTTGTCTTTGCGTCTTGGTCATATTGTGAAATAGAAAAAGTACATCTTTTAAGGCTTTTAAGTAAACATTTTTAAATTATTTGAACAAACAGTTATCTGCTTTTAAGTTGATATCAAATTTCAAGTAAATATGTTTTACCCAAAAATGTAAGCTCCAGAGCGATTGCACACAAATTCCATCTAATTTAAAGATCATATTAAACAATTTATGTTTGGACACTACGTCTTATATCTGATAACATTCGTTATGGGTTGTGTGGCTTTACATTTTTTTAAACTACTAAACCTATTAGGGTTGTCATACTATAATTAGTTCTTGTTAACTTCATCAGATGTGGTATGATAGTACACTAGCCTACCTAGCACACACAATAAAATACACATATTTAAAATGTGCAAATAATGCTGATAGATAGTTATTGAGATGATATTATAAACACAATCAAATAAATGTAAGTAACATTTTAGGGCAGCTTTGAAAAGCAAAATTTTATATAAGAAAAAAATGTTTCAACAGTTATAAATAAACGTTGCTGATTTATTTGAAAATAGCATCGGTACATTTGAATTGGAAGGCAGTTATCCGACGTGCTCTTATGACTATCTACAAGTTTATGACGGTAGCACCAGCAATTATCCTAATTTCACAAAATATTGTGAAAACAGAGCACCGGGTCTGTTTGCCTCTACATCAAACTCTATGCACATCGTGTTCAAAACCGATGGCTCAGCTACCCGTAAAGGGTTCAATGCAACATTTTATACACAAGGTGAATGAAGTATCAGTTATTTTACTTAATTAATAATTCTTATTAATATAATATAGATGTAATTCAAACCTCACCAGATTTAAAACTAAATTTCTAGATGTAAACACGTTTCTGTGAATTTAAGGAATTGAAACATGATGGTTCGTATGAAAAAAACTGCATATAGTATTCTAAATGTTTATTAGAGTAGAACTGAAAAATGCTACACTGTTATAAGCATAAATAAAATAACGAATGCTTTTTTGTAAAAAAAAAAAGAATAGTGTAAAAGAACAATGTATTATTATAGTTATTAAAAACATTTAACATATATTGTGGAACATTATTCAAAACAACAGTGGCTTCCAATCGTTACTTAAAAAAGCTTTGCGTTAAAATAATTTCAAAATTCAAAATTCTTTGTTTTTTTATTTATTATTTATTTAAAATTTGAAATATTAAGATCTTGAATATTTAAAATAGGCAGGGACATGACTCTCTATGAGTCAGGAAAATTAGCAAGTCCTGGATATCCATTACAGTACTTGAATAGTCAGAACATCAATTGGACGCTATTCACTCGAACTGGAACATTCCTTATTTTAAAGTAAGAGAGATATGTCACTATCATTTTTTTTCTGAAATTGCGCAATAACTTTTAGTTATAATATAATAAAGTAACTTGTTTGTAATTAGGAACAAAAAGCCAAAGACTCCTTTTTTTCGAAAAGAAAAAAAACCACTCTGACAATGGTGAAAATTATAGACGAGTACATTTTTTTGCAGTTTGAATTCAATGCAAATTTCTATTCCTTTATTTTAAACCTAGTTGCATCTAGATTCTACGAAATTTTCAATTATTGTTTGTTTGTTTTCTAATCTATTACCTATTAACTTCCTAAAGAAAATATAAATAAGTATAATGTAAAGATTTGTATTGAAATTATTTTGCTTAGTTTTTCTTTTACAAGTGAAATACCTCTGCTTGTTAGTCGAATCGACATTCTCTTTAAAATCTTCTGCAATAGTAGCAGTGTAAATAACTTAGAGCTGATTACATTTTAAAACATACAACTTCACATTTCAAGCATATCATTTGTGGAAACCGAGTCATGTGGCACAGACTATATCACAGTGTACGATGGAAGCAGTACTTCCGCTCGGAAGTTTCAGACTATCTGTGGAAGGGGAACTTCGACTGTGATCGCCTCGTCCACAAACTACCTATTGGTCAACTTTAGAACAGATGGATCTGTTACGTTGAAAGGATTTTATGGGGAGTTTTACTCTCAAGGTACTTTCACATTTTTAAATCGATGTGTTTTATTCAGAAGCGTAGCAATATTGTGTGTCCTAGGAAAAAAATTAACATTCCTTTAGCTATTAAAATTCCAGTTTGCATATAGAAGATAGTAACATTAAATATACTACAGTAAAAGATTATAGTCAGTCACTTGTTACTTGTATCTTCACCTTAATCATTCTGACCACTCATTGTGATCGTGGTTCAATAAGAGTTTATTGTATTGTTTTTGTATTGAAATATGTTTTTCCAGCAAGTGCATCAAACGTTTTTACATTTATTTTATATATTGTGTTAGCTTGCCTTTTTGTTCCACATTTATTATATCTTATATTCATAAAAAGAAAACGTCGGCGTTGTCGAGTCGTAAAGCCCACGGCTGCTAAATCGAGAAGTCTTGAGTTCGAACCTCCGGCAGATGATGCTCGATAGCTGGGAATAGCAACTCTTCTAGATCTAGGAGAGACAACTCCAAAATAAAACATCGGTTGCCTAATAGTTTGTTCTTGGACAAAGGCTATGGAAGCAAATCCAAAAACACAAGCAGGCTGAAATCGGAGTTAGCGGCCTCTACAACGTAACATGTAAATGTTTTGGAGCGTAATCGCTTCCAAAGTAAAACACAGAAGATGGTCAACTAAACACGTATAGGAGCTAGGAGCAAGCATTGTAACTTAAATTAAGGACGTACCGTGTGATTTTATCGCTAAAGGTTACCACAGTTACAAATAAAATTCATGTAAAGAAACAACATTTTCAGACAGTTTTCATATTCCATGTAAATTGCCATGTGGCCTTTTCCAGTTGAAGCTTTTTTTTTCTTTTCGGTGTCAGAGGTTAATAAAGTATTATATAAACAATCGGGGTGAAGTGAAAGGGTAGGTAATGCTCATGACTGCTAAACAGAAAAGTCGCGAGTTCTGCCCCTGTCAGGTAAAGCTCGTTGGCTGGAAACAACATTTCTTCTAGAAGAGACAATTATTAAGTCATACCGAATTGAAGCCACTTGAGCGATTACAAATTCTCTCTTAAATTTGGCAGCTCCTGTACTTTTGGTACATCAGTTGTGTGAAGATCTAGCTCTTTTTTAGATAGCGTTCAGGCTTTGTGTCTTTATTTTTAAGGCGCAATTGTTACACACGTTTGACTATAGAGCCATTTATTATTAGTAACCGATTCTGCATTAGTTGTTGGAATTTTGACATTTAGCTCGATGTTAACAGGTTTTCATTAAATGTATGACCATGTATTTTACTTGTGCTAACGCTGATACCTGTAAAATATATAAACCTAAACTACTCACGTGTTCTTGCCAATAGCTTAAGCGTATTGTGTTAGCGTGGTTTCTTAAGCGTTTATGAGACTATCCATTATGGCCTACATTATATATTTCTATAGTACATTTGGTTTCACACAAAAGTGCATATCATAAAATATTGGCTGAGATGAAAGAAAAAAGAACTATATTAAAAAAACTTTTCAAAATAAAAACATATACACGTTTAAAAAAAAATTATTTGTATTACATTATATTTTATATACATACAAACATATTAATGTATTAATTTATTATGATAAGGAATGTAAAATGTGTATTTTCGGAGTGTATCCTTAATATATATATATATATATATATATATATATATATATATATATATATATATATATATATATATATATATATATATATATATATATATATATATATATATATATTAAGGATACACTCCGAAAATACACATTTTACATTCCTTATCATAATAAATTAATACATTAATATATATATATATATATATATATATATATATATTGCCTGTATAATATCACACAATATTATATTGAGCAACACCTATTTTCATCGATATATATATATATTCATATATTTATTTTCATATATATATATATATATATATATATAGTTGTGTGCATTTGTATATGTATATGTTAATGTGTTTATCCAATAGCAACGAATAATTACATGAATGGTCCTACTGGATTGATCATTAGCCCGGGATTTCCTCTAAGCTACACAAACAACCAATACATTACCTGGAGAATCAATACTGCATCCGGAACTTTTATTATCCTAAGGTAAGGAATTAGCAAGTTAATATAAAATAAATGTTAATTTTATAATTTCATTACGACTTAATTAATAATGTTAATGAAAAAAAGCTTTGTTGGGGCCTTTATTACAACCGGATCTAAGTAGAATATGAATTTTTCTTTACAGTGTAAATGCATTTGAATTGGGATCAAGTTCAGTATCATGCAATGATAATCTACAAATCTTTGATGGGCCGTCAAGTAGTAGTACTCAGTTAGCTCGACTGTGTGGTAACGTCGTACCTGACCTAATGGCTTCTACATCAAACCACATGTACATTGTGTTTCGTACTGACAGCTCTACAAATTACAAGGGTTTTAGAGCAACGTATTATACACAATGTTAGTTTTTTTTTTTCTAAATTACGATTTCCATTGTGTTTTGATATATATTTATTCAATAAAAAATATAAATGTATCATATACACATTTGTTGCAGTTTAAAATGCTAATAACACTTTTAACAGTGCTGAAGAAAGCTTTTTTACAAATCGTAAATTGATTTTGGGAAAATTAAAATCTCTTTAATTAATGGTAAATTTACATTAAAAAAACAACTAAATTGGCCTTCTTTTAGAGTATATTTGAATTTCCATCAACCTTTATAACTGTCATTTAGGATTTGTATATGTACATGTGTTTATCCAATAGTAACGTATAATATCATGGATGGTCCTACTGGAGTGATCATTAGCCCGGGATTTCCTCTTAGCTACATAAACAACCAATACATTACCTGGACAATCAATGCAGCATCCGGAACTTTTATTATCCTAAGGTAAGTAATTAGCAAGTTAATATAAAATAATTGTTGATTTTATAATTTCCTTATGACTTAATCAATAATGTAAATGAAATAAATCTTTGTTGGGGCCTATATTAAAATTTTACAACCGGATCTAGATCTAAGTAGAATATTAATTTTTCTTTACAGTGTAAATGCATTTGAATTGGGATCAAGTTCAGTATCATGCAATGATAATCTACAAATCTTTGATGGGCCGTCAAGTAGTAGTACTCAGTTAGCTCGACTGTGTGGTAACGTTGTCCCTGGTCTGATAGCTTCTACATCAAATTACATGTACATTGTGTTTAGAACTGATAGCTCTGCAACATACACGGGTTTTAAAGCAACATATTATACAAAAAGTTAGTTTTTTTTTAATTACGATTGTCATTCTGATTTAATATATATATATATATATATATATATATATATATATATATATATATATATATATATATATATATATATATATATATATATATATATATATATATTATACATATATATAAATATATCCATATATATGTATACATATATATTTATAAATATATTTATATATTATTACATTTCTAGATATAAACCTTATAACTGCGACATCTGGTTCAATTGTAAGCCCAGTTAATCAAAATGATCAGAACAACATTTGGAAAATTCAAAGTGGCCTCAACACCTTTATTATACTAAGGTAAGAGTAAAACACTAGTAGTATGTTAAATATAAACATTTATTATTATCATATTAATCACATTGATTTAAAATATAATATGTATACTACAGTATCACATCTATAGACTTGGGTGCAGCTTCAACAAACTGCAGTAGTGATTCTCTACAAATATTTGATGGACCATCAAGTAGTTCCATCCAGTTGGCTCGACTTTGTGGTAACGTTGTTCCTGGTCTTATCGCCTCTTCATCAAACTACATGTATCTTGTTTTAAGGATTGGTAACTCTTATACATATAGAGGGATTAGGGCAACATACTACACGCAAGGTTAGTAATTACATATATTTATTTTCTAAATAAAATACACTTTATTTAAAGCATGTTTAGTTTACAGAATTTTCTTGTGCAAATTATACATATATTTTACATTATTTTACGTGCTTTTTATCTGTGATAAATGGTGAAATGATGTCAATTTAAAAATGGTGATAACTCACGCTTTAACGCTGAATATTTGTGTTATCTATAACAATGCGTGTGTAGCTTCCCGTATAAAATTTCACTATTGTTTCATATACTATTATATAGGTACATCAGCAACCCTTACAGCATCAGCAGGCTACATCGTTAGCCCAGGTTTTCCCAGTTTTTTTCTCACAAACAAAGTCTACTCGTGGACAATACAAGGCAATACTGGGACGTTCGTTGTGCTCAAGTATGTTTAAACAAAAATTAGTGTATATTTTTACAATTATACCTATGGTATATAGATTACTTTTAATGTTGTATTCTCATCAAATAAATCGATTTTGTTTTTAAATTTCCAAAAGTGATTTTTAACTTGAATTTTATATATTTTCTCTATTCTGCAGCATTACTACATTACTACTAAGCAGGTCCACATCATTCTGTCCCAACCACCACATCCAAGTCTACGACGGACAGAACACCAGTGGTGTATCATTAGGACGGTACTGCTATAGAAGTTCACCAGTGTATGTTGTATCTTCATCCAACTACATGCATGTCGTGTTTCGAACTGATAGTACAACGACGTATAAAGGGTTTAACAGTAACTACTATACACAAGGTAACTTTACTAGTACATGTTCACTTTTCTAGAGTTAAGCATGCATTTGTTTGTAATCAGAAAAATGCCGAAAAAAATGGAAATAATTAGAATTGTAACTCCCGAGTATCAATGTAAAGTGGGATACCCAATTAAATATACCCATTTACTCATTAATGTTCCTTCTATTGTTTTATTTGTCAGCTTGCTTGAACAATTTATATGAGACAACGGGTGTAATTACCAGCTCTGGTTATCCTAATGGTTACAGTAAATACTCGAGTTGTTCATGGAGAATCGTAGGGGAGGCTGGAACTAAGATATTTGTAAAGTAAGAATCTATTCTTATCAGAAGTGTTTCTACTTTTTTTTCTCAAGCAATGTAAACATGTCTTCTATTTAGCCTAAGAACAATAATTGTAAGCCTTTGCATTGCTTTGTGTTGTGATTTGATATATAAAAATGTACATGTATGTCTATGATTTTATATTATACTTTTAAATATATCTGCTTTGTGTATAAGCAAGCTCATATATATATATATATATATATATATATATATATATATATATATATATATATATATATATATATATATATATATATATATATATATATATGTTATAAATACATATATATATATATATATATATGTATATATATATATATATATATATATATATATATATATATATATATATATATATATATATATATATATATGGAAACAGGGCATTTCCCCCCTGTCAATTACCCGCCCGGACATTTCCCCCCCCCCCCCCCCGACTTTACCCCTGTCAATTACCCCCCCCCCCCCCCGCCCAGTAGGACATTACCCCCCGGACAGGGTTAGAGTTAGGGATAGGGTTAGGGTTAGGGCTAGGGTTAGGGTTAGGGTTAGGGTTAGGGTTAGGGTTAGGGTTAGGGTTAGGGTTAGGGTTAGGGTTAGGGTTAGGGTTAGGGTTAGGGTTAGGGTTAGGGTTAGGCTTAGGGTTAGGGTTAGGGTTAGGGCTAGGGCTAGGGTTAGGGTTAGAGCTAGTGTTAGGGTTAGGGTTGTGTCTAGCGTTGGTTTTGGTTTTGTGTTAAGTTTTAGGCTAAGGTGGATGCTTAGGTTTTGGTCTTTTTCTTAAGGTTTGGATTAAAGTAGTATATAGGTATAGAATTCAAGTTAGCGTTAGGATTCTAACTTGAGAGGGGGGGGGGGGTTATTCCACGGGGGGGGGGGGGTCATTGACAGGGGGTAATTGCTCCGGGGGGTAAATACGGGGGGGGGGTGTCCGCGGGGTAATTTCCGGTTGGGGGGTAATGTCATGTAGCCTTATATATATATATATATATATATATATATATATATATATATATATATATATATATATATGTATATGTGTGTGTATATCTGCTCAATTTTAGCATAACAGACTTTGATGTTTTACCTTGCGAGTCTGCCGTTGTTGCTGCGTATGATGGTCAGTACACACGAGAGAATCTAAATCTCCCACTATGTGGTCAAGTACCTGTGTTTTCCATCAACGCATCAAGCAACTTCGTCTTTATCGCCTTTATAACATTTGGACTTATCAACCCTGTGTCTTACAGAGGATTTAAGCTAAACTATGTTATCAAAGGTAAAGGGGTTCAAGGTACTAAAGTACATTATGTTAAGTTTAATCAATGTATCCTTAGATGTGTATGTAAATTCGATTATTATATTGAATTGCATCGATGAACACAATCTAACACAACTTATTTCTGCAGTAGATAAGGGCACTATGAAATAAAACGATTTTGATGTAATACGCAACATAAGAAACAATTTCAAAAGTGTTACTTATATTACACATGTTACATATAATTGATAGCGTTTATTTTAGTAAAGGAAGATAAATGCCAACAATAAAGATATACAGCATTTTAAAAATAAATCTGTTTGATTCTAATTTAGATGATTTAAAACAAATATTTGAAAGTGTCAGTCAGTCGTCAGTCGTCAGTCAAGACCGAAACGCAGGAGTGAAAATTCGGTCACTTCTAATTGACCGATACGATTCACATTTGACACGTGGGTCAAGACATGAAGACAATGCAATCTGAAATTAAATTTTACTTACTTGGATGCCTAATTAATTTTTTATGAATTAATTAAAATTTGGACCGAATTAGTAGGCATGTCTATCCAACCACACCACACGCGTCATTACCTTCAATAGCTGCGCCATCACGTTCAATGGCTACGTTAAAAAACCATTGCGCGCCTACTGAACGTGATGTTCAGTAGGCGCGCAATGGTTTTTAGTCATGTAACTCTATTGTAAATAAAACATGTAAAGTACTGAAAAAAAATTCATAAAAAAACGTTTTTATAACAAGCTTTTATGTAATAATGCACTAAAAAGTAGAAAATAAATTATAGACTACTATTTAAATAACTATAAAGAAAAGCGTGGGTGTCTTCTCAAATATTAGTAAAGGTATCCAATATGTACTAAAGTACTAAAGTGAACCACGCTTTTCTTTCTAGTTATTTAAATAGTAGTCTATAATTTATTTTCTACTTTTTAGTGCATTATTACATAAAAGGTGTTATTAAAACGTTTTTTATGAATGTTTTAATTGAATAACATTTAACCACTAATGACCGTGTTTAAAATATTCAATAGGCAATGAAAAATTAGTACGCGTTAGTTTAATTCAGTGGTTCCCAACCTTTTTCGAGTGGCGACCCCCTTTTATAAAAATTAAGTGACCCGCGACCCCCATAGAATTAAAAAGCCGAAATTAGTATAGAAATCAATAAGCACTAAAATAAGATTTTCTAGTAGACTTTCAATATGAACTACTCTTGATAACTGTTTTAATACCATGAGTAAAATTGCATACTATTCACTAAACATTCGAGGTTAATTTTTTTTAAGTATTTTTTTTTATTAACGCCAACCTATGTCATTATCATTATTTTAATTTTGTTTTTAATCGAAAAATAGTGTTCAAAATAAAATTATATTCTCTAAAAGTCAATCAATTTTACGTTTGGATATAAATGGTTAATACTATAACAAAATTGTGTCTGAAGTTTTTCATCTTACGCGGAATCATTCTACAAATCAAAGAATTCATCTTGTAATTAACCGTGAATGCTGGCAACATCGAGGGAAGAAGAGAATGGTTAATGCGTCAATGCAGATTCTTCTTTTTTCAGCTGAGAGAAATAGCGCTGCAGTTCGTTTTCAATAGATTCAAGATGCCCAGAAATTACTTCTTTCAAAATTTTAATTATCTCACAATTAGATTAATCTACCACACTGCAGAATTTCTCAAATTTACAATATTTACAAGATTTATTTTCTTCGCCGATTTTGCAGCTTTGATAAAAATGCCCCGAGATTATCATGGAAAGTGATAATATTCGTTCATTTTCCCTGAAGCTTCAGGTTAAGCTTATCTTGATGTACGAACACATCTGCTAGGTATGATACTCTCTCCAACCACTCTATGTCGTTTTAAGTATACCAAAAAGTCTTGTTTCCTTTGCATTTCCAAGAACAATTTGATTTCAGATTTCAATTCAAAAACACGACTCACAACAATTCGTTTGACAGCCAGCGCACTGTAGTGTAGAAGAGCAGAACCTCGTGATCTTTATTCAGGTCTTTGCTCAGTTCTTTGAAGGCTCCAGATTTTATATAATTTACGACTTATACTAGCAATGGAGTCTTGATGGCGATTGGTGAGGGCAGTGGTTATAGAGCTAAATCTTTTCTGCTTTCTGAAAGCCCGATTTTGACCTAAACATAAATGGCGGACCATCCGTACAAACCCTTACAGCCGTTTTAACCCATTTTAATCATCCAATTAAAAAAAACGTATTTATTTTCTCCATGCTATCTTCACAAAAGAGCAACTCTTCTTTGCTATCATCTGAATAAATATAGACAAAGACCAGCAACTGCGAACACGAACTCGCGTCTGTTGATTTATCAACTTAAAAAGCAAACAATGGTGAAAGCTTAATTTCAATAAAAATGTGTTATTTAACATCTACGGACATGTAAGAATTAACTTCACCATCTTCAACATGCAGCATTTGATGAGATTTTCTCCTATTGTGTTTTTTTTTGCTTGGCATTTTCTTTCGCGACTTCATTTGATGCTTGCACTAATTATGTTTTTCCTTGGTGAAAACTTCCTGTTCGATCAAGTCTCTGACATTTGCAACTAGCTTCATACCGACGAAAGAACTCCATATCTTTTTTTGTGTGTTTCGAATGACTCGTGGTCAAATGACGTTTTAGTTTTGAAGATTTCATAAACTCGTGACTGAGAACAACTTTGTACAGTACGCTTTGCTTCTTCTCTATTCCCTTTCCAGTGATGTTAGTAAAGCCGAATTTCAAAAATTCTTCTAAATATTTAAGTTTTGTTTCAAATTACTAAGGTTTAGTATACCAGTTGGCGACCCCCCAGAAAGCCCTTCGCGACCCCCAGGGGGGTCGCGACCCCCAGGTTGGGAACCCGTGGTTTAATTCGTTACTGTATTTCCATCAGATATATCGTATGGCAAATCCTGCACTCTAGTGGACCAGTGCCGAAGTTACTTGACTTGTGTTAGTGGCTACTGTAGTTGTGGAAGTGACAAATATCACAACAGTTCTACACTTAGCTGTCACAACAGTAAGTCATTTTAAACTCTTGTCTTTTTATATTACTATTGGTGAAACGACATGGAAAACTATTAAATGATAAAATACAATTTTTTGTAAATCATTCTGGACTGAATATTTTCAACACAGCGGGGTAGATCGCACAATAGGTAAATCCAAAGTCCAGAATTCGTTAGCAGAAGATTCTACAATGCGAACAAGTCTAAAATAAGCTGATCTGTAGCCTACATTTTGACCGTTTGAATTAGCTTCAGAGCTCATTAGGACTACTTTTTTGTATGTCGGATAACGTGTCGAAACATGTCTAATTTCATTGTCTATTTAGTTAACCATTTGTATCTTTCTAATTTGTTTTTAAACTTCTCATTTGCAAACAACATAACATTTTCTATTAATTAACATTTTATATTGTCTGCGTTACTTCTACATGGATTTGTTTCTTTGAAGTATAACCACTCTGATATGGTTATGTATGTATGTAATTATACATTGCGCAAACAAATTAGCTAGAAGCAATCCCGTTTGTCAAAAAACCTACATTTTTACTTTCTCGTATATACGAAGTATAGAGCAAGTACTGTAATCGTGCAAAATAAAAATCGAGAGTTTTGCAAATCTCGACGTTTTACACATCCCTGAGTCGGAAAAACATAGCTTTGCAATCGTGTCAGTATGTCTCTGTGTGTGTATGTGTCTGTGTTTGTGTGTGTGTGTGTGTCTGTAAACACGATAACTTGTGTACCGTTACAGCTAGGTTGATGAAATTTCATATATAAGTATTATATCAAAATCGTAGATTCGTATAAACTTTTGAGCGATTTAATGCTTCATCCGTTATTAGTCGAAATATGCACATGAAAAATAACAAACAAAATCAATGTCCTTCAATTTTGTATTATGTATAAATAATTTGTTGACGATTGAATATGACACAATCATTAATATAATCAAATGATTCATTAATTAATTGTGTTTATGTAATTAAAATGTGTATATTTAAAAGTGCTCTACACAAAATTTATTGCGTGCTTTGATGCGAAAATATTTTTTTCAATTATACCATTAGTTTTTATTAGGGAAAAAAATTCAATGTGCTTTACAAATTTTATGTTAAAATTTTTTTTAAAGTGCAACAAAAATAAGAACAGTTTAAAACATTTTAAAATGTAATACAAAATTGAACACTATTTAGATTATATACCATTATAAGGAAAAAAAAGTCTCTATACAAATAATTGAATACTATTACTAGATTTTTATAAGTGTCTAAACCTTTTTAGTTATCTAAACAGTGGTGCATTATGGTTTCTTTTAAGATATTGTCATTTTCTTCTTTAAAGTTCATACTTAGAAGCTTGCTATTGTAAATGGTTCAATTAAATTGTATTTCTTTTTTTTTGCTGAGCAGAACTTTCTTTTAAGGAGAAATGTGTGGAAACACTACAGTGTAGGAGTAACTTGCAGTGTTTGTTCGGAATGTGCTCCTGTGGTCAGGATTATTACTACAATCCTAGTGACGTTAGGTGTAGTTTTAGTAAGTTTCTGAGTTGAAATAATATTATATATATATATATATATATATATATATATATATATATATATATATATATATATATATATATATATATATATATGCATATGCATATGTTTAAATACCAAAGTGAATTATAAATAATTTTATGCATTTGACAATCATTTACAAATATGAAACTTTTACTTAAACTACATAGAGAAAGTGCATTTCTTATCACAAATACTGGTAAAACATACTGTTTACACACTCGCTCTTACACAACTTTATATCAACTTTCGTAAAATAATGTTTTATATTTACACATTTTTCCTTTTGTTTGAACTTATATAATACATCTAAATTCTTTAGCGTTTGATCATAATGTGTACTGCAACAGCAGTATTCCTGGTATGTGTAGAACAAGGTATTATATGGATTGTCTCCCCGATGTTTCTGGAAAACATCGATGTTTGTGCAAAGATTCGTTTCATTTTGAGAACAACGCTTGCGTTTCTTGTAAGTTATTTAAGTTTAATTTAGGTGTTACTTAACATTAAATAAAATAAAACGGTAGAGCTAATGGATCGTATTTTTAAATATTTGATTAAAAATAGAAGGAAAATGTTTAAAAATTTAAAAAAAAAGTTAAGCTGACATATACTACTTACAAATTTGGTTTGCTTCCTCCAATATCTATATGTAATAAAATAAGTATTAATACATATAATATATTGTAACTTTTGTACTAGCATTATATATGTCCTACAGGCAATATTGCAAACAATTATAATTTAATCCCCATATTATCTTTCATACAATATTCTATTTACAAAAAATCTTGTTAAAAATTAGCTGTAGTTTTACCTTTATTGCTATACAAGAAAAGAACATGTATCAATACACAATGTTAATTTATGTACTATACAACATCAGAGATGTATGATACAGCTATTTATCAAGAACACATTACTTTTATTTACTGCATGTTTCAGCTTCTAAATTAGTTGTACAGCGCCCCCAATCCCAGAACAAGAGCACAACTGGAGTTGAGTTACAATGGGAAGCCACTACACTTGGACCCAATAGAACGTACGGTGTGTCGTGGGTGTCGGCCAGTGATGAAACAGATAGAGGAACACAAGCCCCCAATGAGAGCGGTGTGACGGTGACTGGTCTAACACCAGGTACCAGCTACACAATCAGGGTCTACACGTTCCTACAGCAGCAGGGATTTTATACTGTTAGAAACGTTAGCACTACAATTAACATTGTTACTTGTGAGTAGAACTTCACATTACTAGTTTTTTTTAAATTATTTAAATCTTATTTCAATGCTTATATGTTTTAACTTTATTGTGACAGCATTATAGTTTTGGTTTTATTAAACAAAACATCACGCCTAGTTTACTATTCAACCATTAAATATGTCTAAAACACGTAGTCATTTTGATCTTAACAAATAAATGCGAAAAATCATTTCAGATTGATTGCAAATTGTCTACTGTATTTAGACTAAAAAAAGTAATATTTATTATTGAGTTATATTCTAATGCTGGGGAAATTTCTTCTTGATATTATCTGCGTAGTTAAGTGGTCAGCAATCTTAAATCTGTAGTGAGATATTGTTTTTAAAATATAATATAATATTAAAATAACATTTATTTTAATTAAATCTTTTGTTTATTTTACAATGTAAATAATCCCAAATAAAGTTCTTAAATATGAATAAATATTTTATGTAATGAAAATTCTTTCCTATACAAAAATATGCTGAAAACTTAATAATTATGTCTATACTTGTAGATTTAAATTAGCGAAATATTAGAACAAACTTGTTAATTTGTTATTTCTAACAAGCTTGCAATAAAGAAACAATTTTAAAGAAATATTGGCCTGTACCACATATAATAGAAGAAAAAAAATGCAAATGCATTCGACTCCAATTAATGTTTGCGTTTACACATATGAAGTTATATTTTAGTTGTCTTATTATATTTTTGTATTACGTTCAGATCCAGCCACACCGGGTCTAGTGAATACAACAACAAGCAAATTGGATAAACCACCTTACATCATAAGATTTCAACCATCTGTAGGAAGGGTACTTTTCTACAAGTTTTCTTTGGAAGAAAAACTTGGATTACTAGATCTAAACTATACATTGAGCTTCCCAGAAATTAAACTGACCGATCTACAAACTGACACTGAGTACAAATACAGTATAACGGCTGTTAATGATATCGGTGAAGAAAGTGATGAGGTGGAGGGATTTTTTAAAACAACACATGCAGATAGTAAGTTATACGATTTTATAACTATTTTCACTCTATATTAATTGTATAGTTGATGCATTTGTAAATTAGTTGCATGTACTTTCCATATCTAAAAGCAAAGATGAAATTTATATTGTATGTGCGGGTCTATACTATGATAATAAAAAACATTTCTTTAGCACAATAGCCATTTTTTTAGTGTAATATAGATGTGTCGATAGTATTTTTAGTGCGACAAATCTAGTTAACTAAATATATAGCTTTAAAGTAACCCTCATACATAGAGGTAATTGTTTTTAAATAACTATATTACGTAATACTTTTAACAATAGATTAACAATAACTAGGATTCAGGATTGATTGCATATTACCAAATTTGATTTCCGATTAGGCAATGCGTTGTACATTTGACTGATCATATTTCTATCATTCAAGCCATTTGTATCTCATCTAACTATGCCAATAAAAATACAAAAAAAGGTAGAGAAACAGTGTTTAAGAGCCGATTACAATTTTTCTAGCCTTCTCGGCAGTATGTTGATAACGCAAAACAAAACCCACATATTTGCCACATAAAATACTAAAATTATACAGTAGCATTGTATTAAAGCAGGTAAAATGTGTAATACAAAACAGAACAGCTAGACAGGCTCTATAAATTAGATTTGACGAGGGTAGGAATATCTTTGTTTATGCGAATACTTTTGTTTTCTAAACATCAGGTAGTCTTTATTGTATTCTCCAGGTGAGTTAAACGTTGGCTTAATAGCAGGATCAGCCGTTGGAGCGTTGGCGCTTGTTGTTATTATCGTCGTAGTTGTTGTCGTAATCATACGGAGAAAACAAACTAAACCTAGACAACAGATGGACGTTGGGGGTGTGGCTATGAAAACAACTCAAAATCCGTAAGTTAAAAAAAATTCTAGAAACATTAGAATTAGCTTAGATTCCATTGTTGCTTATTTTCTGGTAGTTTTTTGTTGTCCTTTAAATAATTTCGACTGAAGAAACATTCACGGCATTTTGTGTAGTTTTTTTTTACATGCTAAGTGTAAGTGTAATATAAAGTATGTTGAAAAGGTATTAATATGCGTGAGCGGGATAATGTTTTGTGTATCAACTTGTGCAAGCGCCCCAATTCTCAATGTGTTTTTCTTTTCCAATTCTCTACTGTTGTTTTTTTCAAATTCTCTACTGTGGTTTTTGTCCTTTACGCAATGGTCGTCCCATTCATCTTAGTTGTTACCTGGTTTATAAAGACAGCTGGAAGCGTATATAACAATATATAATATAAAGCGTAACTAAAAGTTCTACCCCAGTATTTACGTTGTACACAATAAAGTGAGCGTAGTTTCTGTATATATCATTTTTTCTGTATTATAGGTTGTGATATCAATGCAGACCATCGTGGTTGGCAGTTTAGTTAGTAGGCCTATAGTCTAAATATCGTAGATAGTAGTTGAAGGTTTTCTATCGTTTAGTCTAGTGTTATGTGAACCGTTTGTTGTTTATATGTGTATGTGTTGAGCGACTTGCTTGTTTGTCCTCACTGGTGAGTTTTTATTTTTAAATATTCTGTTTGGTTTAGAGCAACGGTATATGATTATGCTATCGGTATAGCCAGGTAACAAATCAGAAGTATTTTGAAGTATATAAAAAAACTATTGCATCGAATACGATCTGTAGAAGATAAACAAATACACCTTAAGCAAATTTATTTACACATGCTTAGATGATGAGGAACTAACGAAATAATATAATGTGCTTTATAAGTTTACTAACCACACCGACAATATTCAACAGTGAATGCACTGATGGACCTATAGCCTCAACATCCGTCGCACGAAACACAAACCTTTACACACCTAATCCCAAAGGATCTGAAGGTAAGTTGTATTTTAAAGGTGGTAACTCTCACCAAAATTGTCCTGGTGTAGACAATCAACGTATGTTGAATTAATTAGTCTTTAAGTTACGGCGTGTTGTAGCCGCGGGTCGAGGACCTGCATAACCGTACGTCAAGAGTATGTAGTTCAACATTTGAAATACATACAACACTACACTGGTTGGTCGATGTCGACATGGTCGAGTCGGTAAAGCTCATGGTGTTGAGTTCAAATCCACGGGCGGATGAGATTCTATACATTTTCCAGGAGAGACAATTACTTGCAGTTTGTTCTTGGTTGGATAAAGGTTATGAAAGCAAATCCCAAAAGAAAAGCAGGGTGATATTGGAAACAACGGCCGATTTGGCGCATAACAATTTGACATATAATACTGATTAGCGGTGAGAAGACATCAATGTAATTATTGCGTCAGCTAGCATGAACGAAAGAAACGCTCGTAGCTTAAAGGCATTGTTCAAGACTGACATGTTTTTATATGCAATAAATTCCACACTCACGCTATCGTCAATTACCTCGCTGTCTGTTACCCTCTACTTTAAAAAGTACAGAAGTACATTGTAGATTACAAATTCACCCTAAACCTTATCCTAACGTTGAACGTAATACTCGCAATTTAGGTTCAGGGTTGTGACTTCATGTTTAACGAATGCGATTTATTTTATTTCTTACTAGGAGGGCCTTTTTAATTCATTCTATACAACCCTCAGCATTTCACTTTACCGATACTCTGTATTGCAAGTATTATATAAAGGGGGTACTTAATATGCAGTGTTGAGTAGGGGGTATTTGACATATTGTTATTCATCTATGGAATACAGACAAAAGGTCGTTCGTGATATATAAAGAGTCATCTTTCACGAATTAATTTTCTGCAACGTACCAAGATAGTGGTTTAAACTATAAGCCTGTGTAACTTCTTTAACATTTTAATTATTTTCTACCCCATGTATGTTGCACTGTTACAGAAAATGTTTATGAGGACGTACGGCCTTTGTCAATCAACAAACCACCAACACAGGAGGGGGTGTATGCGAATGTAGATCCAGCAGAAAACGTCTATGCAAATCAACATCATGTCTACGCTAACGCAGCTTCAATTCAAGAAACAATGAGTTAATCCGCCTGCATTAGTCACATTAATAAACGTTAGCAGCCTCATAGTTCGAGGTAAATTATAATTCTTAATCTACATATGATGTTTCAACACAAGACCTACTTAGTAAGAAAAATGCGTAGAAAATGACAATACTACTTGAAATCTGCTCGGTAACAATACTTTTGTCAATCGAAACTCCTGAGTTTTGCCAGACACAATCATATAGTTTAGTGACTGGCACAGTTTCTTAATTATTATTCTATTTGTTTTGCTATAGCACAGTTATTATTATGAATTAACAATTAATGCTTATATTTTGTAAAGAAAAATATAAACATGAGTATCTTGGCCTATAGGGCTGTATTTTTGTAAAGTATGTTATTAACTTTATGTAGATCTCATGTGTATTACCGTCTATTTCAGCAAATTTTTGTTTCATATTGCATACAGGAATAAAATTTCTTTTTTTTGTCTTGTTTTATAACAAATTTTCAAGGGTCTTTTCCCAACAATCTGTACATTTGTATGTTGTGTCACGTAAAGATTGAAATTATGGTTATTAATAAGTTGAATATAACCGAATTTTAAATTAAAATCGATTGTTAAAGCTTTATTCTTTAAAAAAATACATGTATTTATAGTACCTATTTTAATGCATAGTATTGAATAATTTTGTATTTTCATTATTCCAAATACATTTATTGTATAAACAAGTGTGTAAATAAAATGATCTACTTTACTTAAGACGTATGTCTGTTAAGTAAGTAAAAAGTGTAGTACATAAAACATCATCAAAATAAATTAAATCTTTCTATTTTAAGGCGCATATGTAGAGTAAAATGTAACAATCGAAAATTTAATGAATCATATTTAACAATTTACTAAGAAAATCTTTTATTTTATGAAAAGCCTTTGTAGCTTCGTGCGAGAATATAACGATGCCATTTTCAGACTATCGTCATGAAAGTTACGAGGAGCTACTTACTGTCTAGAGTAAAACAAACACTACTAACATATGGTTTTTATGCCAGAAAATTGCATGTATCAAAAGGAACGTGTTTTAATAAAGTTGCTTTCACAGAATCACAAAGCTTATTCTGTAAAATCCATCTGCTGTTCATGTAGCTACCTCATTGACCTATATCCGAGGAGTCGAGCCAGCATATTTTTTTATATCAAAGCTATATATGAAAAGACAAATATTTCAAGAAATTTGGAACAGTTACATTGTAATCCTTCTTCTAGTATTACGATTTCATTTCTGTAGCACGCTTCTTTTCTTTTAATGCAATCCTAATTTTAAATGGATAATATATGTTATAAATACAGTATGGCAGTTAATTAGTTTCTTTCAGACATTATTTTCAATTAATATTTAATAATTTTATATTGAGTGCTCATATGTTACTTATTAAAGTGTAAATATGTGTTTGGTTGACATGAAAAAAATAAAAAAAATTTGAAACATGTCCTACAAAGGTGTTTATAAATAGCATGCACACATTCTGCATCGAAATACTGTGTTTTATAAAAAATAAACTATTGAACATTTGAAATTATTCTTTTATTCTATTCAATGTTTTTAACTGCTCCGACATTCATGAATAAATTTGTCTTGTATTTTCAGTTACATTTTTTTATTGTTGAAAGTGTTTATATAATGGTTGGTAATAAATTTAGATGTCATGGGAATAATTGCTGACTAAGCTTTTTCGCTTAATAAACCGGGAGTGATCTCCCCTAAACTTTCTCCAATATTGTTATATAAAATTACGTGGAATGGCAACTCGGGATATAGAAAATATTTTAATCCATTTTTAATTACTTAAACTTTAGAAAAAAAAAGAATAGAATCTTGTAGGAAAAAGGATTGCGCACCAAGTGAACGCTAAACAAAATGTTTAAAATTTATAACTAATTTTATATTTTTGTATCGGATGTAAACCATTGAAAAACCGTTTAGAATTATTTGATGTTTTCAAATATTTTCACAAACTGCACTCAACCTCTCCTTGAAGTCAGCCGGAATGGCTAGGGAGATTACAACAAAACATATTCGTAAAAAACGTTTTAATAACAAGCTTTTATGTACTAATGCACTAAAAGGTAGAAATAAATGAGTTTCTTTAAATATATAGTAATATAATACACTACTATTTATATAACTATAAAGAAAAGCGTGGGACACTATATTATCTATTGCAGGGGTCTCCAAACTACGGTTCGCCGGCCAGATGCGGCCCGCGAACTCCTCTCATCCGGCCCGCGGAGATCTTTTTGTGCACGGAAAAAAACGTTTGTTGGTGATGGCTGAGGAACTTTGGCCAGAAAAATCAAAGACATGCCTGGAAGAAACTGGCCCCCGAACTAAAATTTGATAGTTAATGCGGCCCTCGGACTGAAAAGTTTGGAGACCCCTGATCTTCTGGATACTTTTACTAATATTTAGAAAGCGATCCACGCTTTTCTCTATAGTTATATTAATAGTAGCGTATTATATTACTATATATTTAAAGAAACTCATTTATTTTCTTCTTTTTAGTGCATTAGTATATAAAGCTTGTTATAAAAACGTTTTTTATGTTGTTTTTTTCTGTACTTTAATTTTTTAATGCAATAGAGTTGCATGACTAAAAACCATTGCGCACCTAATGAACGCGATGACGTAGTCTAATATTGCGGAATAGTTTGATCAGACAGCCTACTAATTTGGATAAAATTTTAATTGATTCATAAAAATTAATTAGACAACCAATTGTAGATTCGAATTCAAGACCGACTCGGGTTAACGTTCAATACGTTTATTAGGTCTCACATATCACATTACAGAATAGCCCTTGACCTAACCACTACCAACTAACCCCTGACAACCATTCACTCCAGCTTTTATACCGCATTCGACCTTGGGATAACAATACACAAACACACCGAGGTTAACAATATTCTAGGGTAAACTCAACTCACACACTCACTCTCCCCTAATTCTAGATCATTCTATCCTATTCTAGTCTAACCTACAAATGACCCGTAATACTACCCCCCACCCAAGTATTTGTAGTACATACTACAAATACTAACTAAATCCCCAAATCCTAAGTTAACCTAGAGGGCGAAAAACAAACAGAGAGAAAGAAAGAAAAAATAAATAAATAAATAAATAGATAAATAAAAAAAAATAATTTTAAAAGCAAACAAAAAAGGGGTGTGACAGGTATACTACACCAAGAAGAGAGTAACTAAATAATGCATTTATACATCTCTTTTTACAAACAACCGAGGAAAAACAACCAAAAAAAAACCCAGAAAAAACAAACAATTCTGTGGTTTAAATTACAATTTACATCTCAGACTCCTGATCTAAAATTTCTTGACAAAGGTATGTTAGAGCACGCTGGTCCATCTGCAGTACGAAGCTAGCGTTGTATAAATACAACGCTAGTTTGCCTGTGGCCCAGACAATTGCTAGGCACTCTCTATAGTAGAGTACCGAGTCTCTCTCGGTTGGAGTTTTCTACTGATGTATTTTACTGGTCTCAGAACCCGATTTCTCATTTGCATCAAGGCTGCCCCGATGCCTCTTGACGAGGCGTCGGTCCTGAGGATAAATTGCTCATTAATATTAGGTAAAATAAGAAATGGTTCTGAGTTTAAGTGTTTCTGGACCAGTCTTAAAGCACGGTTACATTCATCCGACCACACGACCTTTTCAGGTTTACCCTTTGCTAACAAGTCTGTCAGTATTGCGTTGGCCTCGCTGAATTCTGGTATAAATTTAGCATAATACCCTATAAGACCCACTAATGATCTTACCTCTTTCTTTGTGGTGGGTGTTGCTACGTTTAAGATTTTGTTTACCTTGTTTTTCTCTGGTGTCAGTAGCCCCCTCCCCACTACGTGCCCTAGGAAATTAATTTTTTCAAACCCTAGCTCTAATTTGGCAGGTCTTACTGTCAGGCCCGCGTCCTTCAATCTATTGAACACCGCCTTTATTGCCATAAGGTGTTCCTCCCATGTCTCGCTGTAGATACAGATGTCATCAAAAAATGACACCACATTTTCCAAGTCTTTTAATACGACTCGCATTAATCTAGCGAATGTGGCGGGTGCCGTGCATAGGCCAAAGGGCAGGAAATTAAACTGAAAAAGGCCCCAGGGTGTGACAAATGCGGTGAGTTTTTTGCTGTCATTTTGCATGGGGATCTGCCAATACCCATTTGTACGGTCGAGTTTAGTAAAATATTTTGCCCTATTTAATTTAGCGAACAGCTCATCTGTATCTGGGATGGGATCCGCGTCGTAGACTGTGACTGCGTTAAGTCTCTTATAGTCTACACAGAAACTTGTCGACCCATCTTTTTTCTTAACTAGTACTACAGGTGCGCTGAAGTCGGAGTCGGATCTCTCTATTATCCCCAGTCTCTCCATTTCGTCCATCTCTTTCTTCATAAGCTCTCTTCGGGCGTGTGGTATGCAGTAGGGTTTCGTTCTTATTGCTCTGGTGTTGGTCAGTTTTATTTTATGCTCTAGCAAATTTGTTTTTCCAGGTAAGTTGCTAATAACAGCTGTGTACTCTTGGATAATTTTGCTTAGGTCCGTCCGATGTGTTTTTGTCAGGGTGTCTCCTATTTTGATATCACTTAACTTAGTTTCCACCAGTATGTCGGGAGTTTTTATTGTGTCCAATGGGATTCCCGGTTCCAAGTCCTCCTCATCTGTTAGTGATACTTGGTTTTCTTCTTCTGCCTCCACCACTCCTGACACTGCCGCTAACATGGGGTGCTCCTTGCTGTCGTCTGGTTTTTGTCTGTGATGGTACAGCATCATCCGATTTACATGGACCACCTTAGTGCTGTCCCCTGTTTTAATAACATAGTCCAAGTCTCCGATTTTTTTAAGACTTCGTAAGGTCCCGCCCACCTTAACTCTAGTTTGTTTAATAGTTGGGGCTTCAATATCAGCACATGATCCCCCACTTTGATATCTTTGGTTGTGGCTGATCTATCATAGTAGCTCTTTGCTTTATCTTTCTCATCTTCTGATTTGCGGATTGCATAGATGCATGCCGTTTGCAACTGATGCTTAAGGTCCAGCAGGTAGTCATATGCAGCTCTTGTCTTATATTCCCTCACTTCTCCTGTGAGGACATCCTTTAGGATGCTCATCGGGCCCCTCATTTTCCTGCCGAACATAAGTTCGAATGGCGGGTAACCAGTGCTTTCGTTTGGAACTTCTCTGTAGGCGAAAAGTGCTGCTGGGATGAACACGTCCCAATCGTCATCCTTGTCTATAGCTACTTTCTTTAGCATTTCCTTCAAAGTTCCATTCCATCGTTCTACCGCCCCGTTGGCCATGGCGTGATATGCAGAAGCGTGAACGATTTTAATCCCCAACATTTTAGACACGGTGCAGAAAATTTCCAACGTGAACTGGGTCCCGTTATCTGAGAGTATGACTTCCGGGAATCCCATCCTCGTGAAGATGGAGAGTAGCGCATCTTGAATCTCTGCTGCCGTTACACTTTTCAGCGGTACGGCTTCTGGCCACCGTGTGCATATGTCTACGGCTGTGAGTATGAATCTGCTCTTTTTTTTCGTTTGAGTTAGTTGTCCCACAATATCTACGGCGAGTTCCTCAAATGGTTGTCCCACTACCTCAGTTCTACCCAGAGGCGCCTTGCCACCAACATTGTTTTTGCTTTTCTGGCAGACATCACAACTTTCGCAGTAACGCCTGATATCCTCCCCTGCCCCTGGCCAGCTAAATTGTGACAGAATTCTGGCTTTCGTTCTTGCTACACCCATGTACCCTGCCATAGGTGTGTAGTGTCCTAATTTCAGGATGGTGGGCCTAAGTCCCCTTGGGATTGCTAGTCTAATCTGATCTTCTGTTTTGCTGTGTTTTATGATCTTATATAATAACCCATCTATCGTTTTACATTGTTTGCCCTTTTCCGCGAGCTTCCACCACCTAGCTAATGTTTTGTCTTCGCTCTGTTGCGTTTTAAAATCTTTCGGCGTCGTTATTTGGTCTAGAATCTTAAGCACCGGCTCATTTCTCTGGTTGCCCCCTGCTCTAAGTTGTCCTCTGGTTTCTACCGCCGCTAATGTTAGCGAATCTTCCCTCGGTAGTTTCGCACCTGCTACATTCCCTATTATAAGTTCAGCTGGTGGACCGTCTAACAGGAGGGCAAAGAACTCTCCCGTAAGGTATGGTGTTTCTATGTTGACTACAGCTCCTGGTACTCTTTTCTAATCTCCATCCGCGGTCTTTATGGTTATCCATTCTCTTGTCCATCTATTTCTTGAGACTAGAGCTTTTCGACAAGCTACGACTACAGAGCCCGTATCCCGTAGGACGGTCACCGTCCTCCCATCCAGTTTTCCTGCAACTATAGGAAGTGACCCTCGGTCGCTTATGAATCTCCGATTAGCTCCTATGTTCCCTACAGGGACAGCGCCCTTTACTTGACTATTCATTGTCTACAGTCGCCGCACTCCCCGCTGAACTCTGGGACAAGTCATATATCTTGAATGTCCCTGAAGCCTACCCTTCTCCCTCTGTACTCATGTCCAATTTGTCTACGATTGGACCGGCACCCCGCCGCTATGT